AGTCACTGGCAGTGTGAAATCCAACATGCAGGAGTGATCACCATCTTTCCCAATGATGTCGACTACTGTGACATGTTTGACGCCAAAACCGGCATTCATCTAGCCCGCTTCACCCTCAACTCCAATAACCTCAGACTCCTCCACCTGTCACTGCCGTCTCCTTTCCGACAAAACCTTGCTCTTCCATCACCGCCTCGGCCACATCAACTTCCGCGCGCTTTCAGACCTTGCCACAAAACAGCTCCTCCACGGCCTTCCAGCCTCACTTCCCTCTCCTACCTCCAACCTAGGGCCGCCTTGCCTTGACTGTGCACAAAGCAAGCTTCATGAACAGCCCCATCCTCCCACCGAGTCCATCTCCACCGCACCTCTCGATTGCGTGCACATGGACCTTTGGGGTCCAGCTCCTGTTCGTTCCCGTGGCGGGCACTTCTACTTCCTTGTCATCATTGATGACTACTCCCACTATGTGTCTGTCCACCTTCTCACCGCCAAATCTGAGGCCCCAGCCATCATCATGGAATGGGCCCGGCAGGCTCATTCACACTTCAAACCCAAAATCAAGTTTCTTCACTCTGACAGTGGCGGTGAATTCCGCAACAACACTCTCAAAGCTTTCTGCTCTACTGAGGGTATTCATCAGACCTTCAATCTCCCAGACAGTCCTCAACAGAACGGGGTTGCTGAAAGCCAAAACCTCATCTTGGTGCAGATTGCTCGCTGCCTCCTCACTCATGCTTCCATCCCTCCATCTCTTTGGGGATACGCCATGCTCCATGCTGCTGCCCTCCACAATCTCCATCCTCATCCTCACCACACCCACACCACCCCCGCAGAGCTGTGGACGGGTCAAAAGCCGTCCGTCCGCCCTCTTTGTGTATGGGGGTGTACTTCCTATGTCCTCCTCAACTCCCAAGCCCGTCATGCAGTCGGCGGCAAACTTGCTCCCAAAATGATCACGTGCGTGTACCTCGGGCACAATTCAGACTAGCCCGACTACCTCTTCCTCCATCCTACCACCAACAAACTCTACCGCAGCCGAGATGTTTTCTTCGATGAATCCCACCCATTCTACCCCTCCTCCAAGGCTTCCCTCTCCTCCGCCTCCTTCTCTTACTTGGGCTGACTTTGACAGTCTTCCTCCTACCGCCACTCCATCTCCTCCTCTTCCCGCTCCCTCCACCATCTCCGACCCCCCATCACCCGCTTCCCCCTCCAGCATCACGCAGTCTCCCCCGCTCCTTCCCTCTTCTGCCCCTCCTACCCCATCTCCTCCTCTTTTCTCTCCTTCCGCTCTTGCTCCCACTCCTCCCACCGAGCCCATTCCTCTCATAACCTACCAACGCCGTCCTCCTGCTGCTGCTCCTGCTCCTGATCCTGCTCCCACTCCTGATCTTGACCCCACTCCCACTTCCCCTACCGCTACTCCTCCTCCAGCTCCGCCTCCCTCACCCATCGCTGGTCGCACTCGCTCTCGCAAAGCTCCCCAGCCTCTCTCCCTTTCCATTCGTGTCTCTCTCAATCCTCCTCCTGTCGGGGGTGATTATTCCCTCATGCCCTCCCTTCTTGAGGACAGACATGAGGAGTTGATTGACATCGACTCAGCCATACATGCGCTCTGCTCCCTCTTTCCAGATATAGCAGACGCTCCCACCCTCAACTTCTCGGACAACCCCTCCATCCCCACACCTCTCACTTATGCTGAAGCAGTTTCAGGTCCTAACGCCGCCCAGTGGCTAGGCGCCATTATCGCGGAATGTGAGGCCTTCATTCATACAGGAACTTTTACAGATGTCTCTCCTCCCCCTGGCGTCAACATCGTGAAGGGCAAATAGGTTTTCCGGGTGAAACAACTTCCAGGCGAATTTCCTGTCTTCAAAGCCCGGTACTGTGCCAAGGGATTTACCCAAAAGGAGGGCCTTGACTTCTTTGCAACCTTCTCTCCCACCACCAAACCTCCCACACTACGCACCCTTCTCGATGTTGCCGCTCGAGATGACATGGAGGTTGAGAGCATGGATGTGTCTTCTGCGTTTCTTCAAGGGGTCCTTCGAGAAGACATCTACATGGAGCGGCCCGAAGGATTTCCAGCCCCATTTCCACCAGACACTGTATGGAAGCTGAATCAGCCAGTGTATGGCCTCAAGCAAGCACCCCGGGAATGGCACAACAAGCTCAAGAGCACCTTAGGGTCTCTCGACTTTCACCCCTCCACCTCTGACCCCAGCCTCTTCATCCGAGCAACCCCATCCCGCTTCTTCATCCTAGTGTATGTCGACGACATGATCCTTGTCACCAAGGATCAGGCCGAGTTGGCTGCAGTCAAAACCGCACTTGGTGAGAAGCTGGCCATGAAGGATCTTGGGAAGCTGACGAACTATTTGGGCATGGAAATCACACGTGATCGCACGGCCCGCACCATCACCCTCTCACAAAAGTTTTACATCAACAACGTCCTGACGCGGTTCAAGATGCAGGACGCAACATCAATGCCTACCCCTCTCTCTCTGCAGCACCAGCTCACTGCGCCCTCTGTTCCCTCACCTGAGCCCTGCGATGAGCCATACCTTGAGCTCGTTGGATCCCTCATGTACGCGATGATGTGCACTTGGCCAGACTTGGCCTACCCAGTCAATGTACTGTCTCGCTACGTTGCACCTGGTCGCTTTACTCGCCACCACTGGTCTGCCGCCAAGCGAGTCCTTCGCTATCTCAAAGGCACACAGGACTATGTACTCACTCTTGGCGGCTCTTCCCCTGTTCGTCTTGAGGGATACAGTGACTCCTCCTACGCTGATGACCAGAGTGATCGGCGCTCTTCTCAGGGGTATTGCTTTACCCTTGGCAGCGGGGTTGTGAGTTGGCGCGCCACTCGTTCGTCCTCCGTCTCACTGTCTACATGTGAGGCAGAGCTGTATGCCGGGACCATGGCTTCCCAGGAGGCCCGTTGGCTCTCCTTCTTGCTGGCCGAACTCGGGTATCCTCAACCAACCCCCACGCTTTGGTGTGACAACGAGAGCACCATTCATCTCACCAAGGACCCGGTTTTCCACGGCCGCACCAAGCACATTGAGGTCCGCCATTACTTTCTCCGTGAGCTCGTGCAGCGCGAGCAGCTGAAGGCTGACCACATTGCCTCCGACTGCAACCTTGCTGACTTGTTCACCAAGTCACTTGTTCGCCAGGACCATTACCGCCTCCTGTCGGCCATGGGTGTTGGGCCTCCTTGTGGCTGATGTGTTACAGCCTAGGGGGTGATTGGAAATAGGCTGTCAACACTTTGTGTACTCTATTTTATATGGTTTAGGTTATTTGCGGGTTGGGTGTAGATTTGTAATCCCAACCCTATCTGGTTGGGATTCCCTCGTAATCCTGCAAATCTGCCAACTCACCAATTGGAGATTTGCTAGGATTCCCATCCCATCCCTTCCCTAGCTTTGCTCAACCCAACCTTGTTTGTACTTAACGCATGGTGCCTTCTTGATCAATCAATCAGTTCAGCTCCAATTCTATCACCTTGTGTCAGGAGCAGAGACTGGAGCACAGAACGAAGCACATTGCGCTTCGTTACTTCTTCGCTCAAGAGCTACTGCAGCGTGGTCAGCTCCGCCTCACTTACGTGGCCTCTCAGGCCAACACTGCTGATATCTTCACCAAGGCACTTGTGTCTGGTGATCGTCAGCGTTTCTGCACTGCTCTAGGCCTTGTGCCTACTCTGCCTCACTTGCTTACTGCTTGACTTTGCCTTGTACTGTGATATATATATATACCTACATACTTACTCTTGCTAGGTTGTGATAACTGTACTGCTTGTGCTTTTATCAATCTGCATGTGAACTGGCCTTGTGGCCACTTGCTTGTGCTTAGACTGCGTGGTGATCTTGAGATCCACTAGGAGCTTTGTTTTGCTTCTTCTCTTGACTGGTTTTGTGACCATTTACTTATATTGGTCGTTTTGATGCCCCTCACCTCGGCTATGGGGGTGTGTCAGAGTTATATTTATATTGTTAGTTTGTTAGTTAGAGGTGATTGTTAGGGGGTACAATATTTCTCTCGACACTTTGGTTTGTACCCCCCCCCCTTTGACCTAAACACATCATCCTTCTCTATAGTTCTTAAAGCTCGCGTCTCATATTTACATGCGTTTAACACTTGGTTGGAAATGCACGTCCGTGATTGGTTCCGCCAGAAACGCACCCCAGCTCGTCACATATTTTGTCATTCGTCAACCAGTCACGGAACCCAACCAAGTGTTTAACCTAGCCAAGTGTAAATTGGAGAAAAATATGAGACGCGAGCTTTAACAAAACCTTGCAGCCAACCGTTGTGCAGTCCACTGACCAGCCAACCCGTGCCACCAAACTACCATAAAAAAGCGGGGTGAACTAGGAAAGTAGCTATGATACCAGGTGTTATGAACTTATGAGTTGTAAAACAGAGTTGCGCGGAATAACGAATAACGAGGCTGTGTGTAAGGAAAATTCCTTTTCCTTACTTCGCGTCCCTGCTTACCGCGTACATGCCTGTTCCCGCCATCGGCACCCATCCGTGAACGTTACCCGCTCGCGACATTCGCCTCGACCACGACTCCCGCCACTGTTCACGATGCGACCCAACCTCACGGTTCGGTTGGTAACCCGCGCTCCGGACCTCCGCCTCGACAATTCCCAACCTCGGCGCTAGGCCCGTAGCGCACCCCAATTTCCCGCATTGCCGTTACCACGCTAGCTTCGCTATATAACTTCGCTCATGCTTTTCGCTCAACTGTATTGTTTTGCTTCGATAGTGCAATTCTCGCTCGCTCACTCAATTGCACTCGTAACACTGTGACTCAATGAACTGACAATACAATGAAGGCAGCGTGATAATATAGTGGCTAGCCTAGGTAGGAGGGAACCTCGGGAATGCGAGGTTGGGTGCAGGTTTGGCGAGCGGAAACCCTAAGGCGACGCGGGGCAGCCTCGGAATCGTGGATGTAGGCCGAACGTGCGAAGTCCGAAATGTGGGGGTTGTACGCATAACAGCCAACCCAACAAACCCTTGTTCTCCCACCTCGCGTCTCGTCCCTCGTCGCCTCTCCCACCCACCTCGCCATCACCTCTCCCTCTCACCCAGCCGTTCGTCTCTCCCTGCCATCCCGCCGTCGTCTCTCCCTCTAACCCGCCATCGCCTCTCCCTCCAATCCCGCTGTCGCCTCTTCCTCTCACCCCGCGGTCGCCTCCCTCCCATCCCGCCGTCGCCTCTCCCTCTCATTCGCCTTCGCATCTCCCTCTTACCCGCCATCGCCTCTCCCTCCCATCCCGTCGTCGCCTCCCACACGCTCTTGGTGCTCCCTCGCCCTCCCTCTCTCTCCCTTTTTAATCGTGCAACGCAAGGAGACCAATTGACAAACAGAACCTACAAAAGATGTAAGAAAGTAAGAGAAATTCAGAGGGGGAAAGGAGGAGAAAAAGACCGGGATAGGTATACGCACCTGAGAATGTCGGTGCCTAAGATACCAACTCGCGCTCGCCCGCCATCTCGCGCTCGTGCAGCTATCGTCAGCGGCGACGGCGAGATGGGAGGGGGAGGCGGTGACGGCGGTGAGAGAAGGGGCGAAGGCGGGATTGAAAGGGGACCGACGGCGGGATGTGAGGGGGAGGCGACGGCGGGATGTGAGGGGGAGGCGACGGCGGGATGTGAGGGGGAGGCGACGGCGGGATGTGAGGGGGAGGCGACGGCGGGATGTGAGGGGGAGGCGACGACGGGATGTGAGGGGGAGGCGACGACGGGATGTGAGGGGGAGGCGACGACGGGATGTGAGGGGGGTGTGAGTGATTGCCCCTTCAGTTCGAGGGTTCGCGCGACTGTGTGTGTGTGTGTGGGGGGGGGGGGGGGGGGGGGGGGTGTGGGGGTGGGGGTGGGGGTGGGGGTGGGGGTGGGTGTGTGCGAGTGTGGGTGTTCGAGTGAGCGCGAGCGCGAGCCTGAGGGTGAGTGCAAGTGTTTGTGTGTGTTTTCTGTAAGGACGGATAAAAGTATTCGAGTGTTGGTGAGTTGTTGCGAGAGTGAGTGCGAGCGTGTGCGAGAGGGTGAGCGTAGGTTTGAATCCGGGTGTGAGAGCAGGTGTGGTGCGAGAGACAGTGCGCGCATGCACTTGAGGGTGTGTGCGTGCGAGGGTGTGTGCGAGAGGAAGTGCGAGCGTGAGTGCAAGAGTGATTGCGAGGCTGAGTGTGAGAGTGAGAGCGAGGGTTAGTGTGAGCGCATGAGTGAGTGGGTGAGTATGAGTGTGAGTGTGAGTGTGAGTGCGAGTGTGCATGCAAGGGTGAGAATGGGGGTGACTGTGAGCATGAATGCGCGCTTGAGTGCGAGCGTGAGTGCAAGGGTGAATGCAAGGGTGAGTGTGAGGTTGATTAGAGGGCGAGTTTAAGGGTGAGTGCGAGAGTGTGAGTGTGTGTGTGAGTGTGAGGTTGAGTGTGATGGTGCAGGTGCGATTGCAATGGTGAGTGTGAAGGCGAGTGCAATTTTGATTGCAAGCGTGTGTGCGAGGGTGAATGCGAACGTGAGTGTGAGGGTGGGAGTGAGGGTGAGTGCAAGAGTGAATGTGAGGGTGCGTACGAGGGTGAGTGCAAGGGTGAGTTTGAGGGTGTGTGCAAGGATTCATGTGATTGTGTGTGCGTGTGCATGTGTGATTTTATGTTTGCACTCACAACTCTTAGGTGCAACCCAGCACTTTCACATCTGCAGTGCAACTGCGTTGCCTCCCTCGTCTAGTATACCCTTCTTCATACCAAGAGTTTGTTTTCTTGTCGCGCGCAGGTTAGCGCCGCGCGTCGGCTCGGCTGCCATGCTCCACTCGCCGTTCCCGCCGCTCGCTGCCGGCCGCCCTCCGGCTGCAGTGGCTGCTGTTTCCGCGCTTCCCGCTGACACCAGGATGCTACCATCCGCGTTACACGCTGTACCACGGCAGTTTCCGATCCGCGATGTGGGCAGGCAAGTTAGCAGCAAGTGCGTATGGCGGGCAGAGTGGGTTCGTCGCGCTCGAATCGAACTAGGTTTTAGCGACTTTAGTTAATCGATTGTTGCGAACATGACGCGCCGCACCAGTGGCGTCGCTGGAGGCGCAGAATTGGCGTCGCTGGAGGCGCAGAATTGGCGGCACTGGCTTGTTGGAGCGTCGAGGCCGACGTCAGCTGTCGGGCGGCCACAGCCTCATTGCCAATTTTGCTTCGTGTCCCACTAGCGCGCGCATGGTGCCCTGTGTCGCTGCCTGCTGCCATTTGCAGCCTCTCCTCGTTGGCCTCCCTCGTCATTCTTCTCCCACAAGCCCCTTCTCTCTGCCCAACACCCCCCTTCTTTCTAACACAGTAGCTGCGGAGCAAGCGAAGCGCCCACCAAACCCTCTCCAAGACTCGTCTCCCTCTCTTTGCCCTCCTCCCACCCCATCCCCTTCATCACCACAACCCTCTCCTCCCATTTCCCTTCTTTCTCCCCCCCTTCCCTCCCCCCCCCTTCCATCCCCCCCACCGGCTCCCCTCTCCCTCCCTCAGTTTCGCGTCCCATTGCGTTCCATTCCCCTGCTCTGCCCTCAACGGCAGCATGCTCCCTCCTCTCGTCGCCTCTCTCTCATCTGCCTCTGCCTCAACCGGCGCCCTCCACCCATTGACAACCATCCACCCGCCCGCGCCCCATGAGTCAGCCCTTCAACACGCGCCTCTGTCTGCCTGCATGCCGTCCACGGTGAGTGCACACCACGGTGAGTGCACACCACGGTGAGTGCACACCACGGTGAGTGCACACCACGGTGAGTGCACACCACGGAATGTTCTGCCCTGGATTGTCTGCGATGCTGCCATTGCGGTACTTCCATCCGTGTTCAACGCGAGTGAGTGGTGTGGCCATAGCTTTGACTCACTGTCGGTGTGCAGCAGCAGCTGCCGTGCATCCATGCTGGCGTGTTGGGCTGCTTGGCATGCACTGCCATTGCCTGATTGGGATGCATTCCTTCGGCCAGGATTGACTGATTGGTCTCCACCTAATTAATCAACGTACCTAACTGCAACCATAACCCAATAAGTTCCCCTTGTCTCCGTCTCTACTCCCCCGCTGGTCCCATGCAGTGTCACCGACCATTCTGCCAACCGCGCTTCCACGCCACACGCCATCCACGGCACTGCACTGCTGCTGGGGCAGGGGGGTCAGGAGGGCAGCAGCAGGGGAGTGTGACGGACGGGGAGCTGCAGGAGCGGGGCATCGCGGTGCACTGGGACACGGCGCTCCTCGACTACGCCAAGCTCGACGACCTCTTCCACCGCGTCGGCTTCCCCCGCCGCGGCCCCAAGAAGCTGCAGCACGCGCTGGCGCACTCCACCCTCGTGCTCTGGTTCTCCGCCCCTCAACCTTCTCCTGCTGAGCCTCTCGCCTTCTTTTCCTCGCCCACCTCCCCCTCGCCCTCCCCGCCTGAGGCGGCGGTGGAGCCAGTGGCGTTTGCGCGCACGGCGGGGGATGGCGTGTTCAACGAGGTGGTGTGGGACGTGGCGGTGGACCCGCGCCTGCAGGGCAGCGGGCTGGGCCGCGCCCTCATGGAGCGCGTGGTGGGCGCGCTGCTGCGCCTGGGCGTGTGCAACGTGGGGCTCTTTGCGGAGCAGCGCGTTGTCACCTTCTACCGCCCGCTGGGGTTTGCCATGGACCCCGATGGCATCCGCTGCATGGCGCACCGGTCGCAGGAGAAAAAGGGCAAGCGATGAGAACAGGGATGGGAAGGTGTTTGTTAGCTTGTAACAAGTGCAAAGAACGAAGCTGTATGGACGCTGAAGGAGGGACAGTGAAAGACGGAATAGAGTTTGATGGCCAGTGTGGTTTCAAGGCAAACTATTATTTAAATCGAACGCCATCCTTTTGGGCCCTTGTGTAGTGGGCAACCACTGAAACAAGTATTTTCAACAAAATAACTGTAAAATCCTTTAGAGCGCGTGAAATGCTTTTGTCCGAACCATCCTTCATCCAAAGCTAGCGTAAGCAGGGATGAAATGCTCAGCCAGGCCCCCAGAAGTCATAAATTTCTCTGATTTACCTAAAAAACTCTGATATTTCAGCCTTTTTTTTTAGTGGATTCTGAAACTTCAGAGTTTTTTTTTGTATGAACTCTGAAGATTCAGAGTTTTTTTTTAGGCCTTCTCTGATATTTCAGATTTTTTTCGAGAGTGTACTCTGATTCATCAGACTACAAACGCGAACCTACTCTGATTTTGACTAGCCAATAGCCGTGATTAGCGCAGGAATCTGAGTTTTTTACCGTCAATCACGCTTTCACAGTGACAACAGTCAAGTTTTGGACCGCAACGCCGTGTTGCAGCGCGGTTATTGCCTCGTTGGCACCAGCGCATACCAAATTGTCAAAGTACATGCATGTTATCTATGTGTAGGTTGTAGTGGGGTAGCCAATATGGGGTACAGCCCCTTTTAGGGTTTCATACTTGTACCCAACTCTTTCATAGTTGATTCATTCCTGCTGCTAGATTTTAACATGGTTTCAGAGCACTAGGTCCGTAGGACCGTCTTTTTTTTCGGGCCCACTTACCGTTGCGGTTACCGCGCTACCCCACGTGTTGTCCTGCGCCTGCCTGCCTGCCTGCTTGCCCTGCCTTGTGACGTGCTGCGCTGCGCGCGCCGTCCTGCAGCCCTCGCGCTGCCTCCTGCTGCCCTAGGCCAGCGCGCCGCCCCTGCAGGCCCGTAAGGCCCACGCGCCGCCCCTGCAGGCCCGTCAGGCCCACGAGACGCCCCTGCAGGCCCGTCAGGCCAGAGCGCCGCCCCGCCAGGCCGCTGACGCGGCCCCGCCCTGCCTCTGACGCGGCCGCGCCCTGCCTCTGACGCGGCCGCGCCCTGCCTCTGTCGCGGCCGCGCCCTGCCGCCGACGCGGCCCCGCCCTGCCCCTGACGCGGCCCCGCCCTGCCTCTGACGCGGCCGCGCCCTGCCTCTGACGCGGCCGCGCCCTGTCGCCGACGCGGCCCCGCCCTGCGTCTGACGCGGCCGCGCCCTGCCTCTGACGCGGCCGCGCCCTGCCTCTGACGCGGCCCCGCCCTGCAGCTGCCGCGGCCCTACTCTGCAGCCGCTGCTGCGGCCCCGCCGTCGCCGCCGTCGTGCGCCTACCCTACCGCCGCCCGCCGAGCGCCGGCCCTGCCCGCCACTGGTGAGCACCTGCCTTGTTCGCGCGCTGCCGCGCCCTCTGCCTGCCTGCCTGCCTGCCTGCCTGCCTGCCTGCGTGCCTGCCGCGCCTGCCCTGCCCGCGCTGCTGCTGCTACTACTGCTACTGTTGCTACTGGCGGTGGCCAGATGCAGCTCCAGCGACGTCCGCGCGAGTCTCTCACGCCTCAGCAGCTTCGTGAGTGGTACGCTAGTTGGGGTTGTGGCGGTAGCCGTCGTGACTGTCGCCCTGGAGCTGGTCAGTCGGGAGCGCCTGGCAGTGGCCAGCTGCAGCTGCAGCGGCGTCCGCGCGAGACACTTACGTCCCAGCAGCTTCACGAGTGGTACGCTCAGAGTAGAGGGTCTTTGAGTACCGTTCGCTGCCCGTACGTCATTCGCACAGGTGATCGGGCTGGTCAGGCGTGCGGGACGCTTGGTCACACACAGTCCCGCTGCTTCGCCCGTCTGAGCGACGCCTGGCGTACCAAGTTTGGCGACGAGGCTGAGCTCCCCACCTGGCTGGAGCTGCTTGGACAGAGGGTAGATATCTTTGCTCTTGACTATGATGCTATTCTCACTGCCATGTATGCATTGCCTACTAGTGCTGACCGTGCCTGTTACCTGTGCGTACCGCCTGACCCAGGTATAGAGCCTGCTGCTCTAGGTGCTGGTGTGGCTGCTGATCTAGGTGCTAGTGCGTCTCCTGCTCTTGGTGCTGGTGAGGCTGCTGCTCCAGGTCCTGGTGAGTCTGCTCTCTCTAGTACTGCGCCTGCTGAGGCCTTGTACACCTTCACACTTGACTCAGGTGCTTCCCGCTCCTTCTTTCGCGACAGCACCACCCTCACGCCGCTCCGTCGGCCGGTTGCAGTCTCCCTGGCAGACCTCTCTGGGGGTCCAGTCCTTGCGCACTCCTCCACGGTCCTGCCGTGTCCGGCGGTCCCGTCTGGCTCCCTGTCAGGTCTTCACCTCCCCTCGTTCTCTACGAACTTGGTGAGTGGAGCTGACCTACAGGATGTGTGGGTTGACCAGTTCACCCCTGGAGGTCAGCGTGTGACCCACTGTACGTGCTCCCGGACTGGTCGGCACCTGGCCACGTTCACCAGAGCGCCTGGCTCGAGTCTGTACACACTGACCACTGTGTCCCCTCAGGTAGCTGCGTCTGCGTCTGCGTTTGCATCAGGTCAGCTAGCGGCCCCCTGCTCGTGTCGCGCTTTGTCGCACCAGACCCTCCTTTGGCACCACCGCCTTGGTCACCCCTCGGTGCAGCGCCTTCGTAGCATGCACCGCCGTTTCCTTGTCTCTGGACTTCCAGAGACTATGCCTCCTCTACCACCCTCGCCTGCTCCTCCCTGTCTTCCCTGTGTCGAGGGGCGGCAGCGCGCCGCTCCTCACTCCTCCTCGTTCCCTCCCATGCAGACTCTCCACCTGGACGTGTGGGGCCCAGCCCGCGTCCGTGGATAGGGCCACGAGCGGTACTTCCTGCTGGTCGTCGACGACTACACGCGTTACACCACGGTCTTCCCCTTGCAGCGCAAGGGGGATGTCCCTGATGTTTTGATCCCCTGGATCCGCGCTGTTCGTCTCCAGCTCCGCGAGCGGTTCCAGTCGGACTTTCCTGTCCTGCGTCTGCACTCTGACATAGGTGGTGAGTTCTCCTCAGACCTCTTGGCAGCCTTCTGTGCGGAGCACGGCATCCGCCAGACGTTCACGCTTCCGGCCTCTCCGCAGCAGAATGGGGTTGCTGAGCGCCGCATTGGCTTAGTCATGGAGGTCGCTCGTACCTCCATGATCCATGCGGCTGCCCCCCATTTTCTGTGGCCGTTTGCGGTCCGGTACGCCACGCATCAGCTCAACCTCTGGCCCCGTGTCTCCTTGCCGGAGACCTCGCCCACACTGCTGTGGACGGGGAAGGTTGGCGATGCGTCGCGTTTCCGGGTCTGGGGTGCTCGTGCCTTTGTCCGCGATACCACCGCGGACAAGCTCTCCGCCCGCGCTGTTCCCTGTGTCTTCCTTGGCTTTGTCCCTGACGCGCCTGGTTGGCAGTTTTACCACCCCACCTCGCGCCGTGTCTTCCCCTCTCAGGACGTCACGTTCAACGAGTCGGTTCCCTTTTACCGTCTCTTCCCGTACCGCACTGCCCCTCTCCCCCCCCCGCCGCTCTTCCTCGCTCCAGGTGCTCCCCAGGTAGACCCCCTCCCCGCTCCCCGTCCTGCTCCTTCAGGTGTGTCTCAGGTAGACCCTCCTCCCTTGACTGCGCCGGTTGAGGTCACTGGTGACTCAGGTCCTGCTGAGGGTGGTCCTGCTCTGGGTGCTGCTTCTGGGGGTGCTGAGCCTGGGGGTGCGGAGCCTGGGGGTGCTGAGCCTGGGGGTGCGGAGCCTGGAGGTGCGCAGCCTGGGGGTGCGGAGCCTGGAGGTGAGGATCCTGGGGGTGCGGAGACTGGAGGTGCTGAGCCTGGGCGTGAGGAGTCTGGGGGTACTGAGTCTGGGGGTGCTGCACCTGGGGGCGCTGAGGCGTCTGGTGAGCAGTCTCCCTGGAGCGGCCGTCTCCGTGGTCGCTCCGCTGGTGCCTCGCCGCTGCACTCTCGTAGTCGACTCCCTCCCTCCCCACAGCAGCTGAGTGAGTGGTACGTTGGCCGTCAGGGTCGAGCTGCTGGAGCTAGGGGCCCTGCTGCGGGTGCTGCTGCACGTTGCCGCTCAGCGTGACTACGAGCTTCACTCTCTGGACTTCAGCACAGCGTTCTTACAGGGCAGTCTGCACGAGGAGATCTGGCTGCGCCGCCCACCTGGCTTCACGGGGTCGTTCCCTCCTGGTACCCAGTGGAGCCTCCGGCGGCCGGTCTACGGTCTCCGCCAGGCGCCGCGTGAGTGGCACGACACACTGAAGACGACACTTGCGGCTCTTGGGTTTTCTCCGTCGACTGCTGACCCGTCGCTGTTTCTGCGCACCGACACTTCGCTGCCGCCGTTCTACATCCTCGTGTACGTCGACGACTTGGTCTTTGCCACTGCTGACACTGAGGCTCTCGCCCTGGTGAAGTCGGAGCTGCAGAAGAGACACACGTGTACAGACCTGGGTGAGCTGCGCAGTTACCTTGGCTTGCAGATCACCTAGGACAGAGCACGTCGCACCATCACACTGACTCAGTCACACATGGTGCAGCAGGTCCTTCAACGCTTTGGCTTCACCTGGTCCTCGGCACAGGCCACTCCTCTGGCTACAGGTCACTCGCTCTCAGCTCCACCTTCGGACGAGTCCGTAGAGCCGAGTGGTCCTTACCCAGAGCTAGTGGGCTGCCTCATGTACCTGATGACCTGCACTCGTCCTGACCTTGCGTACCCTCTTGGCCTTCTGGCTCGCTACGTGGCTCCTGGTCGGCACCGAAAGGTGCACATGGATGCTGCTAAGAGGGTACTACGCTACTTCTGCAGTACATCGGGCATGGGGCTCGTGCTTGGAGGACGGAGCGACGTTGTCCTCACTGGGCACTCAGACGCTTCTTGGGTTGACGACCAGGCTACGCAGCGGTCGTCACAGGGTTACACCTTCAGCCTTGGCTCTGGTTCG